CAGTCTTATATTTTTTTCCCATCAAAAAAGGCACCAGGTCTTATTTTAGGAGAATGTCATCCACTAACTATCCTCACCTGCATGCATCACCCTCGCCTTCCTTTTCGCTGTCAGAAGCCTTCAGGAACGTCTTCTTCTGTGGCCAGTAAGGCTTTCCTGAAGGCCTCTGCAGTGGATAACAGAGCTCTGGATCGAACTTTGAATGGTCACTAAATGAGCTGTTGTAAGTCAAGAATTATCTGCATCGAGATGGTTTCACAATGACCGGCAAGGTGGTTTGCTAAGATTGTACTGGCCACTAGAGGGCAGCACATGCCTGTTTGTGATGGAATATTCCTCCTTTCGTTTCATCTGTTTGAAACAGATACAACTTGTTCTGCCTTATGACCCCACCTGAGCCCAAAACATCAGTTGCTAAGCAAAACGTTTGTTAAATGAGTTTTGCCCCATTTTACAGACTTTCTTTTCCACCATTGTTAGGCCACAAAGTGACTTAGGACCCTGCAACTGTCATGAATATGAAGAAGTTACCGTGTGGTTGAATTTTGATCATGTCACCATGGGGAGGCTACAACCGCCGTAAGAGTGAAAAACAGTCACAAATCACTTTTTTCAGTGCTATTGTTACTTCAAACGGTCACTAAACAAACGGTTGTAAGTCAGGGACCGCCAGTGCCAGTGTTTCCAGCACAGACGCTCCTTTGGTAACCTCTGCCATATTCACACATGCGTAACCCTTTGCAAAGGAACTGATTTAAAAAAATAAGATTGGCCTGTTGACCATAAAGAGCTTCTTCTGCATTGAAGTGTTCTTTTTAAAAAGTTTAACTCCTGACACAAAAGTTTCAGGTTTCTTTCAGTCTCAGAGTCTGGCTGGAAACAATAGAAAGGATGGAGCAGAAGTAGCATAGCAATTTCCTTCCTTCTTTCTTTTTGAATGACGTTCAAATAGTATTAGAATTAGAATAACAGAGTTGGAAGGGGCCTTGGAGGTCTTCTAGTCCAACCCCCTATACCATTTTTGACAAATAGTTGTGTCAGATCCGTGTATCTGCCATTCTTCAATTGGTACAAGTAATCCTTTTGGTACAAGTAATCCTTTTTGATGTAACCTGAATATCTTAAGTCTTGTATTGAATCTGTATAACTTGCACATGATATACAACTGGAGACTGGAGCCCAGATGCCTGGAAACTTGTCACCTCTTGGGAGAGATAGCAAGAGGAGAAGGGGCCACAAAAAATTCCAGTTCCCAAAAACACTTCCTGGGAAGCTTTTCTCAACTACGTTCCCAGAAAAGGGAGTGGGGAATTAACATGTTGATTTTTCCGCACTGATGAAATCCACATCAGAATAAGGGGAGGGGCTCTAACTCCCTTTATCTAAGCGGTATGTCTGGAGGCATGTTAGTCCCTGCTTTGACTGGTACCTGGACAACTTCCTTTTCACAACAAAGAATTCCTTTTGAAGGAACAAGTTTTCAGAAGTTCGTTCTTATTGTTTGAAGGGGAGAGAGTCTGGGCCTTACTTTTCTTTAAAACTCCCTGAGTTGGAGCATTCACAAGTTCCGGAGGCAAAAGGTTCCACTGATTCATTCTTGTTACTATCAGGAAATTTCGCCTTAGTTCTAGGCGGCTTCTCTCCTTGATCAGTTTCCACCCATCGCTTCTTGTCTTGCCCTCAGGGGCTTTGGAGAATAACTTGACCCCCATCTGTGGCAGCCCCTGG